GGAGGGTGGAGGGGTGGAGGGGTGGAGGGGTCGGGGAGAGTCGATCTGATTCCTTGCCCAAAGGGTCAGAAGACATCTTTCTTTGCTGCTCTTGGGATCACACTGCCAGTTTCGCCCCCAACTCCAGCGCAAGGCTTCTACCTGGTCGGGAGGCCTGGAGCGCCGAGGACCGGTGCCTGCGGTCGCGAGTTCCTGGGGGACGAGCCGGGAAGCGAGGAGGGTCGCGGCGCAGAGAGAGCATCCTTTGAGGAGGCTCCGAGGCTCACGTCTGACCTCTGCCCCCAGGCCCAGGGGAGCGGCGTGGTGCGGACCGGTGGCGGCCCGCGGGGCACCAGTGGCCGGGCCGCGGAGGCTGCGCGCACCGACACCGTAGGCCTCCGTGAGCCTGAGGCCCAGCCGGCTAACGTCGCGGTACCGCGGCTCTGGCCCCCGATGACCTTTCCCTTCCCCACCTGAGGACACGGGCCCTGGAGATGGGCGCAAGCTGCCTAGGCCCACGCGACATCCTTTCCCGTGGTCCCACAGCTGGGCGCGAGCGTGAGGTCCGGGGCCGAACGTGCGCACATACACATGACCCAGGACAGTTAGAAGACGAGCTGCGGCCGCGCCCCTCGGGGAGCCGATCTCGCCCTTAGAGCCTGAACTGGGCCAGGCGCTTCGAATGGGAGCGGCCGGGCCAGGGCTTCCGCGGTGGGCCCGAGGCCTGGACGTCCCGGGCCCGGTCTTGCAGCCTGGGCTGGAGGGGGCTCTTCTCAGGGACCACCTGGGTTCAAGAAAACTTATCCCGCCAGGTTGCGCGTCGAGCCTCGGCCGGGGCTCCTCGGAGGAGAGGCTGGGACCCGCCCTCTCGCCGCGCGGTGATTTTCGAGGCCGCGCTGCGCGCTCCCTACCCGGCGCGGGGACGCGCGCTGCTCTCGGTGCGCCCCGGGACCAGCAGCTGCAGCCTCCGAGAGGCTGCGGCCGCCGTCTCCGCGCTGCTTGGCGTGTCTTTCCTGTTCGGTAAACCGAATTTGGGAATCCAAAGCACCGGGGCCCATTACTGTTGCTTTTAAAGCATTTACCAGAAAGAGCAGAACAGAGGATGGAGACGGGATCTCGGGCCACGTTCGGGAGTAGCTGCCCGGGTGCCGAGAAGCGGGTCTCCTTTCTCACCTTTTCTGCTGCGATCCTCCTCTGGTGCCGGGCGGCGCCCTGCGTCTGGAACTCGGTCCCGCCGCCGCGGAACAGCTCTGGCCCCCGGTGCAGGCGGCCGGTTGAGTGACCAGCCGGGGACCGGTGCCTGCCGCTGTCAGCGGAGGGTTCTGCGTTAGCGTGCGTTAAGCCAGGAACCACTGGGCACAAGCGGGAAGCCGCTTACTTCCCGGACTGCTCTCGAGGTCGACTAACTTTTGAGTTCCGGAAGCTACAAATTAGAATTTTGAAAGAGTGGCGTGTTTAAGGAGACATCTTCCAGTCCTTCATATAATCAAACTCCGTATAACCAAACAGACGTACACCCAAAATTTTTAAATTCTTAGGCTCCAAAGTTTAACAGAATGTAAATAATGATCCATTACTACCATGTAACCCCAGTCCTCTGCGTGCGTGCCAAAACTGTCCACAAAGATATGTCTCTGCGATCGCGAAATTGCAGTTCAAAAATTAAATATAATAAAATTCTTATGTTTTACTTATATTGGGGTAACTATTAAGCTTACTTATGGTTCAGGCGCTTTACGAACGTCATCTCCTTAATCCACAGAGCCATCTTCCAGGTAGGAATAAATTACTGGCCTTATTTTAATGTAATGATGAAACGGAGGCTTTGAGAGATTTAGGAAACCTACACAAAGTCTCAGGGCTAAAGCGGGCTAAAGTCAGGATTCAAAGCCTTCTCCGACTCCAGTGAACTCTCTGGTATCCGAAAGCAGCGCCCGCCCGCCTGTCTTCAGCCTGAGAAGGGCCTGGAGCGGAATGTTAATGTGATTGCTTTGTTCCAAAACCTTCGGTAGCTTTACCTGTTAACCCGCGCTAACAGTGAAGGGACCTCAGACTAGGCGCTCTCGGCTTCAGGACGGCTTTGAATCACCCTTTGACAGCACCTTTCTGTCAAGCAACCGTTCTCCGTTTTTATAGCACCATATTGATTTGCAAAGGCAATAAATCTAAGACAAGGAACAGTGTGCCCCCGATAATTATGTTCTAGTATACATTTTACTGCTGCCGTTTCAACACCAACAAGATGCATAGCTTCTTAGGGAGTCCCAAATGGCTCACCTTTCGAGCCCGGATTTGTTTTGAGTGGCCTTTTCAATTCCTCTGGTTTGCCGCCTGCCTCCGCGCGCGCTCGCTTAGCTTTCTCCGTTTTTTTTTTTTTTTTTTTTTTTTTAACCTTTAGTAGGATGAATAGTCGGAGTTCTCTGCCCACAACAGACCCAGAACTGGGCTAAGGCCGTGTGGGCAATTGAAAAAGGAAGTGGAAACTGACTGGGGGCAAGTCTGTTTTCCCCTTGCTCTCCCAATTTTTCTAAAAATGTCCTTCTCGTGAAATTATTCAAATTTCAGTTTAAATCATTAAGATAATTAAGAAAAGATATAGTGTTTCCTCTGTGTAGAAATGCAATGACCGGCTTTTTAAAATCGAGGTAGAATTCCACAATTAAGTTTTGAAAACTAAAACCAGTACACAGGATCTTTGACACCCAGTTGAAGCATATATTAAGTTCTAGACTAACCAGGACATCACCCCGCCCCCCAAAACAAACAAACAAACAAACAAAGCTCTTGGCAGAAATTTTCCTTCCTGGCCAAACCTTCAGCAAGCATTTGAGACAGGAAAGGAGCCAGTGTGTGCCTTACTGTTGCATTGAGGTAGAGGGGGTGGGGACCTTAATAATTGAACGGTCTGGGTTGTCCAAAAACAGCAGCGGACTAAAGACTCAGAATGAAAACTGATCCTTAGGCGCATCCAGTGGTTTAGCCTCTATTCTTACCGAGGTTTATTCTGAAAGCCTGCTCTCAGCTGGCGTTAGCTCTACGATCGATCTCCCGCCACGAACAGCCCAGGCACAGCTGGAGGGCCAGGGAGGGATCAAGGCCGTGGCCTGGAGGGCGGGTACTGCGTCCTGATGACCTCTAGCCTCCCGGGCAGACCCGAGGGGAGATGCGCCACTCCGCTACACCAGATTCGGTTTTACTCTCTCAAAAGCATAAGGAGATGATGGGTTAGCCTACGGTGGAAACCCCTTCCAGCAAAAAGTCATTTGTTTTACGAATTTTCCCAAACATTTACACATACACACTTTGTACATCGACGCTGATATCAGAATACGTTTCTCAGTCACCTTCATGCAGCACCTTGTTAGAAACTTGATACACGATGACAAGACAGGTTTAAATCATGACTCTCCCAGAAGGCATCATTGTACTTATATAAACCTTCTCAACTTTTGACTTTTACTTTTTTCCCATAAGTTTATTTCAGGAGCTGGGGGAGGGGGTGCAGTGAAGGGAGAAAAAGACTGGTGGGAAATGGGGGCTGTTTTTTTTCTTTTAAGATCCACCAAGAGGGTCCTAATCGCCAGACCGACTGGCTGGAAAGGAGCGCAAATATTTACATGTACAGCTTGAGTGTGTGTGTCTGCCTGAGTTTACACGGCTCCAAGTGAAGCGGATTACCCTGCGAATTCGGAGAATTTGAGTTATTCAAGCTGAACAAGGCCAACAGGACGACCCCCCCACGGCCATGGGAAGTCCTAGCCGCAGCCGAGTTTGCGAAGCAGAAGGTTCGGGGTTAGTCAAGCCTGGCGGCTGTGAGGCGGCTGTCAGGCTGGCACCCTCCCATTGCGCGTCGCGTGGTCCCCGCAGGGTGCCGCGCCCCCAATACTGAGCCCGCGCCTACCCCTCGCCTGCCCTTCAGTCGAGGCCCCATTTTCTAGAGTCCGTCTCGAAATGAGAACCCCGGACCGGAGGCGCCCCAGTGTGCAGCAGTAGTCGTGGTTCTGAGAGCAGCATCCTTTGCCAAATGCTCGCAGCCCTCCCGTAGCGTATCTTTTCCAGGGCTGCGTCTCTCCAGCCCCATTGTCAAGCGAACAGACTTTGGAGCCCAAAGAGGGCAGGGATTCAGCCCTGGGGACTGCCCTGCAAATGGGATCTGGCCCGTTGTCGCCGGCGCTGCGGCGCCGGTTTCCGCTCTACTTAGAGCTTCCCAACTTTCTTTTGGAACTTTGAGCACCGGTTAGAAAAAGAATAGAAGCAGCAAAAACTCCCCGAGGCTTCCTCTGGTCTAGGTTCCCGCACTGGGCCACTCCGCGATCCTGGATCTTAGGCCGGAACAAAAATGTGCCCTCCGGACAGTGCGCACCTCCCTCCTGCCTTGGGACTGCGAGACCAGGCAGGGGGCGTCGGTGGCGGCTGCGCCAGTCTGACGGTGGCACCCCTTTCACGGAACGGGTGCCAGGTTCGCGGCGGGCCGCTGTTAGAGGCGGTTCGGGCGCCGAGCCCGAGGAGCGCCCTCCCCGCGGCCCCGCCCTCGGCAGCGGAATCAGGAAGCGGTGACGTGGGGCGCCGCTGACTGGCTGCGGGCCGCCGGCATCGCCGCCGCCAGCAAATTAAGGCGCAGGGCTTTGAGCGCCCAGGCGCAGTGTCCTCCGCGCCGCGCCGCGCCGTGCTGTGCTCTGCACGCCCTCGCTCGGGCTCCTTGGTGTCCGCCCCCTCTTGGCGGCGCTTGGCTGGTCGCCACCTCCCTGCAGCTTGGGCTGCTTCGGCTGTCCCCAGCGCGGGGAAGGAGGAAGGACGCGGAGGGGGTGCTGTGGGACCCCTGGGTTTTGCGCGTCTGATGCTCGTCTCCAGCTTCCGGCGGCGCTGCCTGTGGTCCTGCGGAGCGCCCCGGTGCTTGCGCACCCGGTTGAGCCCGTGGTTGGTCTGCCGTCCTCTCCGGCTAGTTCGAAGTCTCTGCGGCTCGAGGGCTTTGCGGTGGGGGAGAGGAGAGGCCAGTGTGGAGCTCTTGGGAGGTTGGGACTGACTCATCTGGAGTCTCCAGCTCCGCTGTGATTGCACTTGGAAACTTTGCGCTGTGTTTCGGTCTTTGTCTCCCTTGGGGAAGCTGGACAGCAGTTCGGCAGGCCCCGTCCCTGGCCCGGACCGCGCTTTGGGTGCCATGGAGTTCACGGCGTCGCCCAAGCCCCAGCTCTCCTCCCGGGCCAACGCCTTCTCCATCGCTGCGCTCATGTCGAGCGGCGGCTCCAAGGAGAAGGAGGCCACGGAGAACACCATCAAACCCCTGGGTAAGTCGGGCTGCCTGACTTTCCGCGTTGGGCAGGGGACTGGGGTGCTGCTCATCCGTTTGTGCCTCTGTTCCCTGGCTGCGGGAGGCTCTCGAGGGTGGCCGCCTTTCCTGGCTTGGAGCAGCTTCTGACCCTCAGGCCGTAGGAGATTTCTTTTCTTTTCCGCCCAAGTTTTCTTTGGGGACTTCTCAGTCCGTCAAATACAACCGGTTTCGGGTCTCATGTATGCGATAGTTGCTCTCCCTACCTATTTGTCTGGAATCCCCACGTCAAGTCGGACATATGGGGGTGTGTGTGTAACTTTTCTGGGATAAAAACTCTCAAGGATAAATAATAAAACCCTTTTAACAACTCAACAGGATTTACGGTGCGTGTAACACCTGTTTGTGCTTTTGAAACCAAGGGGACTTTAAGCAACTTCGCAAAAAACTAGTTTAATTTTGTTTTTCCTCTGACTTGAATAGACTAAACAGAGTTAGCTCCTTAAAACCACTGTCAAGTGCTGTAGAATAAGCCGGTTCTTCCCACATGAACCGTTTTCTTCACAGAAGCTCTAGACTTATCTGTAAGACAACGTTTTATAACTGCCGTCATTTTCAGTGGAGGTTGGCAAAAACATTAGCCAGTAACCATTTCCCAAATTCCTCAACTTTTAGCTATACTGTTTATTTAACAACCTTTACCATTTATAGAAGATACTAGACTCAGAGTAAAGAAAAGGGATTATGTTCCCCTTAGCATGAGTGAGTGAATTGTGTGGGAAAGAAACTGCTGGAGAGAAGTGTTTCAAAGTCTCTTTACAACTGAGGGAGAAAGAAGTGTTCTCATCATCACCTCTTGGGTCCTTGGGAAATAATTGTCCCACATCCTGGTCATCTGGTAGCCCTAAAACAGTGAAAAAATCAAATAGCAAACTTAGGGTAATACTTCTTTAACTCTCCCCAATTTTTTCCTTCCTTCTTCCTGTCCTTCCCAACACTTTAACATCTCACATCCAAAACAATAATAATATGAAAGATGAAGTGTTAGTCTCTGGATAGAGAAGAGAGAACTAAAATGCCTATAGCAACTTATAACCAAGGAAAAGGAAACCAGAAGATCTCCAGAAAACATAATGTCAAAAAGTCTCTCTGACACGCCACGGTTTCCACTCCCTTCCCCTGTTCCTCCCACCTACTCTCCCATCTAAATTTAAACCTGCCAAAGAAATGGGAACAACCAATGAAACAAACCCCAACTGTTTAGAAAAAAAATCAGCCACCAATTTCAAAGTTCTCTTTGTGGGACTTCCCCAAATTATCCACTCCTATTTAGGGGGCCTCCAAATTCTTTACAGACACCTCCATCACAGTTTGGTAGCCAGAGGATTTCAGGTTAAAATTCCTGACAGAAGTACAAACGGCAGACTGGGAAACCTGCCAGCTTCAGCTCCACTGTCATTTCAACGTTGCTTCTTTCTCTATTTATTTTCCTAAGAAAAACCACCTTCTATCTAAGTTCTAAACTATAAAGCCATTCCCAGCTCACAGCACCCACCCCTACACACACACAGTCTGTAAAATGTGTCCCTCCATGAGGCTCAGAGACAGGCTCTGAAAGAACCAGAAGGCATTCTTGTCTCTTTCATGGGCCAGTTCAACAGAGCAGTTGGTGACTATAGGCCAAGGACGGCAGCAAGAGAAACACCTAAAGGTTCTGTTAGGACAGAATATGGTACCTTGAAACACTAGTGAGATGTTGAAGCAATTGTAGGGTGGGGGTTGAAAGTGCCTCATGATGGCCCATTTAAATACATTAAGTCTATTTAGAAGAACTGCCTCACACCAGTAGGGCATTTCTTTAAAAAAAAATTTTTTCTTATTGAGATATAATTGACATATAACACTGTAGTAGAGCATTTCTATATCATTCTCTTCGTCTTGCACTTCCCAACCCTGATGCACTGGTTAGTCTGGGGCTTAGGCAGTTTGCCTTTTTCAATTGTCAGAAAATAAGAAAATTTCTCAGGCTTTTTGTTAATTCCCTATAAAGACATTATGTGAATGTGTTTCTGAAAATATTAGTAGAAATAAGATTTTGCCATGGCATGGTTCTCTTTCTTTGAATTTGAAAATATAAGGATAAGATAATTAATTCGATTATTCTTAATTTAAAACATTTCCATGAATTGGATTTTTATCATAAGAGAAGAAAAGGTAAAAATTATCTATTTCCTGCTTGCCTGCCCCAAGTTAAAGAGAAATATGGGAAAGAAAACATTTTATATGATATACACATCATATATATGTACATATCTACATTTACAACTTGTTTCAGTTCCTTGAGGGCACTTAGAACAGGGTTGTTTGGAGATCAGTTTCACATTGCAGATTCAAGTAGTTTCTTTTTTAAGGGATGCAAGATAATTGGGACAATTACAAAAGTCCCCCTGTATTCCATCAAAGTGACTGGTGTAGTCTCAAGCCCTTATCAACTGTGGAGGAGAATGTTTGCTTCATAGGCAGTGGTATTCCAGCCTTATGGTGGATGGCAAAGTGTTCTTCCTACTTTAATGCTCTGCTATTCTGGGTTTGGGGTTGTTTTCCTCACTTCCAGGACCTTATAGAGAGAGGGACAAAAAGTTACACATATTATCCCTCAAGCCAATTGTTTCAAGCATGTTCCAAAAACCTCCCAGAGAGTGCTCTCCTGTGGCTTAACAAGTTATGTGCTAGAGTCTTATCTCAGGCTGGGAGGGATATTGTAAAAATGCCCTAATCAAACATGTTAAAGCTTAGGAAACTGAGAACCAGGCAGAGAAGTGAAATAACATTTTTTTTTAACCACATCCCCACTTTTTCCCCCTGCCCCCTTGTCATTTTCTCTTATGAAGAGAAGGCTCCAGGAGAGAAGGGAAAGTTCCTCTTAAAGTGAGGAAGGTGCTGATCTCTTCACTCCCTTAGTTTCCCTGGAGAAAAGTCTCTCCTGGTTGTCAGAGAGGCAGGACTGGGCTAGATCTCACACACGGTGAAGTCTAGAATTTGGGAGGGATAGCAATAGCAATACTTGCTTTTTATCCTTCCTGATCACCACTTTTCTCTTTGTCCACTCCCCACATTTTTATTCTCCAAAGTGGGTTTCAGTAATGGTGGTGATAAACCATGGTTCTAGAACTCACTCGTTTAGTAAGAAAGCACTGGGCATGTCACTCCATGGGAATCTCATGCCTGTGTAGTGATGCATTATCGCTACCTTCCTGGAGTTTCTGAGCTTAACTTTTCCAAAGTCAAATCCAGGTACCTATTTTAGTTGTGCTGTTCTCCTCCCTGTATTTTTGCTTGACTGCATTAGCTGTCATTCTCCGTTCTCTTCACCTGCAGAACAATTTGTGGAGAAGTCATCCTGTGCGCAGCCCCTGGGGGAGCTGACCAGCCTGGATGCTCACGGGGAGTTTGGTGGCAGCGGTGGAGGCAGGAGCAGCCCATCCTCCTCCTCTCTGTGTACTGAGCCACTCATCCCCACTACCCCCATCATCCCCAGTGAGGAGATGGCCAAAATCACCTGCAGCCTGGAGACCAAGGAGCTCTGGGACAAATTCCACGAGCTGGGCACGGAGATGATCATCACCAAGTCCGGCAGGTACTGAGGCCTTGGCCTTTCGCGGGTGAGGAGTGAGAAGATGGGAATGGCGCCCTGGGTGGCCATTTCCAGGAACAGGGCGAAACACACTTGGTCCTGAGCATGGAGAGAAAGCTTCGCTTAAGGAGGGCTTCTTTCCACGGATTTGCTTTTGGAAAGAGCTGCTGAGACACATGTCCAAGCGTTTGCTTTCTCGGGATCTGGTCATGAGAATCCCCACCCTGGCCTGAGGAGAAGGGCACAGGGCCTAGGGCCTAGGGATCTGCGCTCCCTGCAGCCCAGGAGAGCCGAGGGTGGGGGTGGGGTGGCGGGAACAGAGTCGGCATCGGAAGGGAAGCAGAAACTCGCGCCCCCGGGGCGCAGGGCCGGCTGCTGGGTGCTGCGAAGGAGGCAGGAAGCTTCCCTTTTATCGGCCTCAATTTGCAGAAGCCACCAGCTCCCATTAAACACTAAAATTAAAACCTGGGCGGAAAAATGAAATTTGAAACGACCACCCGCCCCGGGGGCCAGAGTGCGGGCGGTCGGCCCCTTGGCGCCAAGGCCGGGCAGGCTCGGGGCTAGCGGGAAGCCACGGGTGCCGGTGCGGCGGCTCCCGGGCTTGGGGCAAAGGCTCCGGAGGTCGGTGGCCCCCGGCGCCTGGTCGCTCCAGCTCTCGGGACTCTGGGACATACTCCCACGGTCTCCCGAACCCCAACTCTGAGAAGCCCGCTCTCGCCTTCTATGGCAGGAGCAAGTTTTCTGGCTGCAAAACGAGGGGTTGCGTGTCTTGGTCAGCTTCGGAGACTTCGGATCCGGGAGCCTAATGGGCTTGATGACGTAGCATAGGATTTTCTCTGATCACAAACACTCGGGTATTAAAAAAATAAAACAAAACTTTTCACCTAGCAATGAGGACTCCTCTAAAGGTGACACTTAAAATTATTTAGGCTTGGGAGATCGGTCTCCATATTCACTGTCGCTTTACTGGAAACAAAAAGGGGTTGGGGGTCGGTTGGGGAGGGAGTCGGACCCTCTTCCTCCCTCCCTAAGTCGGGTCAGCTTATTAGGCAGTTTGAGCCAGGGCCGATTCTCTTTGTCTCCCTGTGTCAGGAGGATGTTTCCTACCATCCGGGTGTCGTTTTCGGGCGTGGATCCTGAGGCCAAGTACATAGTCCTGATGGACATCGTCCCCGTGGACAACAAGAGATACCGCTACGCCTACCACCGGTCCTCCTGGCTGGTGGCTGGCAAGGCGGACCCGCCGCTTCCAGCCAGGTTTGTGCCTCCACTTTTCCGCTCGAGCAAGATGCATATTAACCCTGCTGGAGAACGTCTCCGGCCCTGGTGGTTTGAGTTTTGAGCAGGTCTGGTTTTAAACCCATGAGCTCTGGTAAGACAGCGTTCTAAGCCTGGACACTCCCGGATTGACTACACAGCACATGGGTTAGTCTCTGAAAAAGGCAGAGTTTGTGCGTAGACAGAACTCAGTGTTTAATTTTATCTTTCCCCACAATTCATTTCCTTAAATTTCCATTGGAATATTCGTTAGAAATCTGGACCCATGTCGTGTAGCACCCATGATTTCTCGTTGGCTACTTATAAATCCTTTTTAGAAGAGTGCATTTTAGTAAAGTGGTTGCTTATAGTAAATATTTGTTAACAATGTGGTTATATCTGCACATAATAGACATTTTGGTAAAATGTGGTTGATTTTGACCAGTAAAGGGCTCCGAGATTTTAAGCAAAAAATGCAAACTCTTTTTCCCCCCTCTCCATAATAAGTTTAGTGGATGAATGTAATTCAACATCAGGTTAATATTCTTTTATTTGAAACATTACTTACTTAATATATTAGGGATCATATATGTTTATATTTGTGCTATTCATTGGTAATAATGTTTTTCTAGGAGAATCCTGTTTGAAAAATCACATGCCAACCTCTATTATAGCTGCTTTGCCCAAATGAGCATTCTGGGGGAAAAAAGAGCTCGTATTTGCTTATGTGAATAGTAATAGCTGAGGTTACAGGAATCTTTCTGTATACTTTAGTACAAACAAAGAATATTAGCTGACTTTACATTTGGGTGCTAAAATCAAGCATCACAGCTTTTAAGTTGTTTTATGACTAATTTTTGATGTTGATTGAAAAATTCATATCAGAGCTAAGAATTTATTTAAATGTACAGATTTAGGAACTTTGAATTTATGGCTGGTTCTTCGTATCTAGTCTGGAGCCTTAGGGCACAAAATTGACACAATTTACACATACAGTTCAGACAGCATATTAAGCTTCCTCAGTAGTTGATCACACTATTAAGCTTACACTGTGCTAAATACACTAGAGAAGAGATTAAAAGAAGCCTCTCAGAGATTTCCATTCCCACAAGCTACTAGGAAGGACATCTTCCCAACCCTCCCAATCAGTATATTAAATACAGTTAGGACTAAGAGATTCTTTAAAAATTGTTAACTTTTTTTAATTGAGCAAGATTCACCAGTTTACAGTAGATATTAAAATGAATAGAATTAGAGTTCTCTAGTGTACTATTAAATAGCTGATTCACGTTACTCTTGAGCTTCCTTCCAAATTTTACAATATTGTTTTAAACAAGAGAAAGAGAGAGAGAGAGAGAAGGGGATATTTTAGCAGATTCCTAACCATTTTTACAAGCAAACTTTTTTTTCCCCCAAAGGCTTTCCTCTAAGAAGTTAATCACTCTTATTTAGCATACGTCTTCTTCCTATCTGAAGGTATGAAGAACTGGTGCAGGCGCGCAGGACTTTGGAAATATGACATGCCTTGTTTATGTTACTAATCTGTTCTGGTCGGAGAAGGAAAGCACGTACCAATACACTATCTTAACCGAAGCATGTTTAAGCTATTGCTGGAATTTTAAGTCCCAGGGGACTTGAGAGAGAGGAGGGGCTTCCTGTATGCTTTTTCATTCATCCTAGTTCAGCTTATTTATATTGATTAGATAAAAAATTTTAGTGCATTATAGGATAGAAATATTCTAGATAATTTAAGCAACTCTTCTTTATTATTATTAAAAGAAATAGTGCTATATATTTTCTAGCTCCATAAGGGAAAGGTGAGGACCTTGGGAGGTGATCCTTTTGTACTGATGGTGGAAATTCCTTGTGGTTCTAGTTCTTTGAAGCATTGTATTTCAGACTGAAGTTCATCAGTCAGTTGTTTGTAATCAGAATAAATAATACTTGACAATATCATTTGATCATAATAATGGGCAAGACATTATACATAATTTAAAATAGTTATATTTCATATGGGACATTTCTTCTTTAAAGTAATTGATATTTAAATATATTAATCATTATTAATGTGATTACACATGGCGAATTAATACTTAAAGGAGGAACATTTCATCAGCTTTTAGGACTTTAAATAATTTTGAACCTTTCTTGGTGGGGTGGGTAGGAGGTGGTGCTGATCAGTAAAACAACTACACCTATGAAGCCTTAGAAGGGTGACACTTGAAAAGCTACTATGGTTGTGTCATCAAAGAATATGTCAATTGTTGGGGCCGGCCCTGTGGCAGAGTGGTTAAGTTCACGTGCTCCGCTGCGGTGGCCCAGGCTTTCACTGGTTCGGATCCTGGGCACAGACATGGCACCGCTCGTCAGGCCACAGTGAGGCGGCGTCCCACATGCCAGAACCAGAAGGACCTGCAACTAGGATATACAACTATGTACCTGGGGGATTTGGGGAGATAAAGCAGAATAAAAAAAAGATTGGCCACAGTTGTTAGCTCAGGTGCCAATCTTTAAAAAAAAAAAAAGAGGATGTCAATTGAAAGGCAATTTTCAGCACTCTTCCTAAAAAAAAAAAATCAAGCTAACGGGCAGACACACAAACACCTAAAGCCTTTCAAGTTCTTGTATGGATCTGGTAAGAATCCTTCGTGCTGTCAGCCTGTTTTGTGCTGTGCTTCTGGTGGGCTTTGTGAGTTTCAGCACGTGCACCCACTTCTTCTATTCTTAATCCTCTGCATGAGAAATCATGGCACAGACTTCTTGTTCTTTACAAGCAAGGGTTTTGTGACTTTTTTCCTTGCCTTTGCCCCAACCATAATATTTATGTTTAATTATAGTTATAAGGATGCTATACAAAATTTAGATATAAATAACCTGTTACGTGGATAAAGGAGTTTGTCCTATTAAATCAAGGATATTCCCTTCCCCTCTCATTAGTTCTATAATATCCCCTGACTTCAGAAAAGCTTTTGTAGACTGGATACCAGGATGGGGATTTACCCAGAGTTGTGCTTAGTGTGATACTCATAGATAGAACAAATGGCTGCATTTAACTGTGAGTGAATAAAAGATTGCCTTGCACATTGCAACCGATCCATAAATGATAGATACATTTTTTTCCCCTCCAAACCTTTTTTTTTTTGCTTAGGCTGTTTACACATAAATATATTGAATAATTAGAAGCTTACCCAGCTTGTTTTTACTCTTATTTACTGAGCAATTAACTAGATGATGAAAGTATAGTATGTAAGGTACCAGGAGGAGCAACAGACGATGATCTCTGGACTACTAAAAGTTCCCCAGGTCCCTGTAGTAAAATTACTCTATCTTGTATTTATAAAGAACTCAACTTTAAACTGAGTCACCTTCTAGTTTAAATGAATGGATTCTCCAGACTTGTTTCCTCTTTTAAATTCTTTCATTGCTTTTAGCAATGCTTATACTAGGACCTCATTATGCAGTTAGTATAACCTAGCCTTACTTTTGAAAATAACTACAACAAGATTTTATATTTGACAGAAGCAGACCAGTAGTTGATTAGATAGATAGAAAAAAAACCCCACCTTTAAAAAATGGCTTGCTCAGCAGATAATAGAAAAGCTATTAAGTCTTACCCCTTTTAGATCATTGGTATATGAAGAAACACATTTAGATGTTTTAGAGTTATTTTGGTATTGCTGTATTATTAAATTTGAGATTATATGCGGCAAATAAAATTCACTGTTTTATATGAGGCTTTTGTGTTCCTTTAGAGTCAGAATATTTCATAACCCACAGAGAACAGTTTTTATAAAATGTCTCAATAAAATTCTCTCATAATTTTCTTAGGCTGTATGTACACCCAGACTCTCCTTTTACTGGTGAGCAGCTACTCAAACAGATGGTGTCTTTTGAAAAGGTGAAACTCACCAACAATGAACTGGATCAACACGGCCATGTAAGTGCAGTGCCTTGGACTATGGGGATTCCCTGGGATGGAATGGAGAAGTCACATAAAACTTCCTCCCTCTAAGTCTCTTCCTCCTCTCCCTCTCTTACCCTCCATCTCTGAGTCATTCTAGGAGAACATCCACGTGTCTCACTGGGAACCCTGACTGTGTTGTCAAGAGGTCATTTACAGGGATGCTCTGTGCCATTTCTAGGCAAAAGGGTCAGGGACCTTCAGCACCATGGATTTCCTAAGACTTCTGCAACTGCTCTACTACCTGCACCAACTAAACAAAGGCTACTACCGCCCATTCTCGGGTTAAACATCTAATTTCCATCAGTGGTATATCAGATAACACAGAATAGAGGGAAATGGGGCTGAGGCATCCTATGGAGGTTTCCCAAAGTGTGCTCTATAGAACACCTTCAGTGAGAGGCAATAGAACAGAAGGGTTTTATGTTCAAATAGATTTGGGAGAGTGTTGTTTACTCATTATATATCCCCTTGGTAGAGAGTCTCATGTATATTAAAGCACAGAGAAGTATTGCAATTAAAAACAAAACAGGGGCTGGCCCTGTGGCGGAGTAGTTTTGCCCAAGGTTTTGCTGGTTTGGATCCTGGGCACAACATGGCACCGTTCATCGAGCCATGTTGAGGCGGGTCCCACAGAGCACAACCAGAAAGGCCTACAACTAGAATATACAACTGTGTACTGGGGGGCTTTGGGGAGAAGAAGGGAAAAAAAGAGAAAAAAAAAAGAAGATTGGGAACAGTTGTTAGCTCAGGTGCCAATCTTTAAAAAAAAACAAAAACAAATGGTAACTATTATTTTAAAACAATGATTTTGTGTCAATAAGGAGTTCATCAAAATGTAGAAAAAAGAGAAATTGGAATTCTGAGCTCTTCTCAATAGATAATAGAACAAGTAACCTTTTTTGGCTCAGGCCTTTACACATTTGATTAGATTGCTTTTAAGGAACTATCTGCGATGTTAGTCCATGCTCTTAAATAAAGATTTACATAAAAATTTTGTTTTAGATTTTATACTAAGAAAACTTTAGATAGACTTGCATACTTCTTTTTGATGAGAATATTGTTTATTTGCCTCAATTGCCAGAAGGCACATTGGTATTTTCATAGGTTCTTTCTTTGGTTTAGTTGTTCTGATATAATTATCTCTCTTATCTCCTTTATTAAGGCTCTTGTTACATAAGGTTTTAGTTTTATTGGATTTATGCAATTTAGAAGAAAAGTTCCAAAACTTTTCTCAAAAAAGATGGTTATAAGTAGATAATAAGTTAGAGAGTTCTAGACATGGTCTCAAATGGTAGGATTGAACCTGGAACCAAATAAATGGCTTCAGGCGTTGCCTCCATCCATTCCCCTCAGGAGACCTCATTTATCACGACTGAGTCAGAGTAATCAGGTTAACTCATGACTCTGCTGGTGGCACTGTTGGGATGTTGGAAGTAGGTTAACAGGTTTCTGTATTTTATGTATTGGAAAAGGTAATTGACCTTTATGTTTAAGGATGTTGGCATAATTCTCCTTTTCTTGTTTTCTTTTTTTAAAGATGTTTCCATTGACAGATTTTTTTTTTCAGACTAAAATGTATGAAGTTTCTGAGAGACATTTTCTGTAGGGCAACTATCATTCTTAATGTCATTTATAGTAAAATTTCTTGGGCTCCATTGAAATGTTTGCAGGGAGAAATGAAATTTTTTATAGTTCTGCTATTTTCTATATGTGAAGCTTTTAGAAGAACTGTTTGAGTCTTTCTAAAAAGACTTGAGAGTTCATTTTGAGATCAGCTGCCCAGAAGTGAGGTTTTCCTTCTTGCATCAGCTTCATGGGTGGGAAGAGCACTAAGCTGTATTTCGGGAGCTCTGGATTCTAGTCTGAGTACGCCAAGATTAGGCCTTGACAAATTGTTTAGTCTTAAATGGCTGCTAATATCCATTTTAGCTTTAAAATTTTATTACTTAATATAATCCTTTGTCATCAGAAATAGTGTGTTCTGAAAACTACAAGGAAAGATTTTTAGATCCTGTGTTGTTTAGCCAAGTTCTTTGAATTAGTTCTAAAGCAGCCCCTTTTATAGATGCAGTTTTAGTTTTATAACAGGACAATTTCTTATTTCCAGGAATTTATTTCTTTGATGAAGTGGAGTCCACATTTCTATTAGCATTCCTTAGCCCCATGAGGGCTTGAGCAGAGTCAAGGAGCCCTGGGGTCTGATACTTGGTCTGGGGTCTGAGTCTGTCCGGCACCCTTTCCCTAAGGAAATTGACCTTGGGGTGGTGTAAGTAGGGGAGAGGGGATCTTATTTAAAGCGTAGGGCTTTTTCCATTGTGTGTCTCAAAAATTTGAAAATTCTTTCTGTCTTAGTAGAACATGTAATGAATGCTCAGGTTTTTTCTTACATCAGTATTAGGAGGCAAATGTTTGCTTTTGTCATTTTGAGTTTATTCCAGTTTTATGACTGAGCATAGATATCTTGAACTCCTTGGAATAAACACATTTTAAAAAGAGGTGACTTTTTTGAAGTTTATTTTGATTCATTTGAAGCTCTTATTTGTTTCAGTTATCCTATTCAGGTTTGGGATCATAAAAAGATGGCATGTTCAAAATTCAATTCCAGTTAATGCCTTGTAACTTTAAGTTGGCTTACATCTCAGCACAGAGAGAGACTGATGCTACCTCAATTATCCCACAGTGACTAGTATTTAACTCTCCTAAAGTCAACCAGCAGGAGCACTCAAGTGCCACACCCATGTTAGCCAAGAAAACAAGGGAGCCGTTAGTTGTAACAATCCTTCGGCTGCTGTGTGCCATTGACTTTGGTCCTGCCACAGTATTTATCCAACACCTCCCCTGAGGGCCAAGCTCTCTGCTAGGCCCTTGGGGTGAAGAGCATACAATGTGAGCCCTGTTATCCCAGGAAAGACATACCCAGTTTTGCAGATTAAGGTAGCTACCTGGGGTGGGGTGGGGTGGGGGGAACACAGACGATGTGGAAAACTTTTTATATCTGAAAGTAAATTTCATTGCTCAGATTTCATAATGGCAAATTATTATATTTTATTTAAAAGACACATGAAGAATACTGCCTTGTTTAACCAGGGTATGTTTATGATTTCTATGTATTGGGCAACTTTTATTAGCTATGGAATGGAAGATGGCCATCACTATCATTCATGTTTAGTTTATAACTGGAAGTCAGAAATCAATGAAACTGTCAGAAATAATAACAATAATAATAATAATACAGTTCATATTTACTGAGCACTTCCTATTTGCTATGTGATTACAAGGATTACATCATCTAATCCTCACCACAACCCTATGAGGTTAATACAGTTTTTGCATTTGAGAAAGTGAGGTTGGTGAGGTGAGATCACTTAGCCCAAGATTAAAGAGCTAGAAAGTAGCTGATTCAGTATTCTAACCAAGGTCTGTCTAATACCACACTGCCTTTCTAAACTGTTTTATTTCCTCCCCAATAAATAATAATCTGTCCTCCTAGAATATATAATTTCTTACTTGAGAAAATTTAGACATCCATCCTTTGGTCTAGCCAGACTAACAAACAAAAAATATTTTAAAAACTTGATTTAAAAAAAAATAATAAACTTATCCTCCAGATGACTTTCCCTCCATCATTTTAGAAAGGACACTTGAAACAATCTGTATTATCTGTAGTTGTTTTGGTAAAATGTGATTCACAACGATGACTCTGCAGTATCTTGTGAAAATGATTTGCCTTAAGAATGGGAAGGGTAGATCCTAATCTTAAAACTGAATTAGAAACTGTAGATTTTATGGTTCTTTCTTTGCCTCACTGTAATTTGGCCTGAGTAATATAATTACTTAAAATTCAGTACTTCCCATCTCTTTGTTGTAGATAATTTTGAACTCAATGCATAAGTACCAGCCGCGGGTACACATCATTAAGAAGAAAGACCACACGGCCTCATTGCTCAATCTGAAGTCTGAAGAATTCAGAACATTCATCTTTCCAGAGACAGTTTTTACGGCAGTCACTGCCTACCAGAATCAACTGGTGAGTGCACTGTTCACCATTGATTTCCTATATAAGATAAGGATTTAGGAGGTTCTTTCGTTTTCTTGGAGAGAAGGGCTATCCCAGTACTCAAAATAGAAGTTCACTTTGGAGCGAGCTATGGAGTGTCAGCCCCAGGACCTCTAAGTGTGTTGAGTGACCATGGCTCAAGGTTATGCACGTCTGCACTACACTATCTTATCTAGAATCTGAATGCTGCTATCAGGTTGTTCACTGCCACTCTCCCAGCCAAACCTGCCCCAATCAGTCTTCTCAAATTTTCTTCTCGAGAAAATTACCTGCTTCCTTTTCCTCCTCTTGGTAGAACCTTATGCCATACATAACCCTACACTCATTGCTTCATAAAATTTAGAAGTTCAGTTTTTCTGCTAAATTAGCACACATAGTCTAGCCAACTGCTCAGACTACTGATACTTCAGATATTTTGTGAGGATTATTCAGGTGTAATTGAGAGTAAGATAATTCTAGTAGAATGATTTTAGATGTCTTTAGATAATAAAGTATAGTATATAAGCAGTTGTGTATTTAATTAACATCAAGATATCTAATTTAAAATATTGAATTATGTACTTTCTACTCTCTTGTACATGACATTTACAATTTATGCATTTCTTCATTCATAAAGTTTAGTCCAATTCAACAAATATTTATCAAAGTCTTATTAAGGGCTGCGTGCTGTTAGACATTTCCCCATATATTTTCTTCTTTCATGGTCAGCATAGCCTTGAAGGCTGGAGGTAATAGGAACATTTTATAGTGAGGAAGCTGAGGCTGAGAAAGGATAAGTAACTTTCCCACAGTCAGGAAGGACCAGAAGTAGAATTTCTTTTGACATACTTCAGTAAAAGGAACTCACATTGTGAGTTTACTTGACAAATTTGGTTGTTTGAAGCCTCTTAAGGTTTTTGTATCTTGCTTTTATTTGATTAGTTAGAGGTAGCCAGGACTACTGCTTCCCTCTTGTCTTGATGCTGTTATATTTTGAGTTCTGAGTGAATGACTGTTAGGTGCTGCCTGATAGATGGCTCAGAGTCCAGAGTGGGATGGTCAGCCTGAGGAGATACGGTGTCGAGTTTCTCAGGGAAAACAAGAAGATGAAGCTGAAAGCCCAGGTAGCCCTACACAAATGGGAGCCCAGAGAAGGGATGTGGGCAAATGGCCGGAGTGGATGTGCGTCTGCAAGGCATAAGCACCTACAATTTCTGTACAACTCTGAGTAGATTTCACTTCATCACTGTGGCTGCCATTTTCCTTGACTGTAAAATGGGGCTAAGAACTGCCCAGACCATCTTAGAGAATTGCTGTGAGGATCAAATGAGATGCTGTGTGTAAACATGCCTTTGGAAACTGTAACACACTCTATAAATAAGGCATGTGGTTACTGGTGGACTGTCTCTGGAATATCCGGAGAGGATCTGTCACTATTTGGATTTTAAAATGTTAGTAGTGTATTTCTTAGTGAGATAAATGAATGCACAAATGTTATCATACTCATCATCTTAAAGTAAAAGCAAAGTATTGTAACTTTTGAATTATCTCTAAGATAACACAAGAGTGGAAACTTGCAAAGAATGCCCAGGCTAAAAGTTTGGGTATAGACTGAAGCCCACAAAAGCCTAAAACACTAATGCTGTTTCTCTGCGAATCTGGAACATTGACGCTAACAATTCCATTTTTAATTTATTTGACGACGCATGTAATGCAGATATTATAGGTTCAGAAAAGATTCCTGAAACATTCAATTCATTTTACATTAATCGAATTTGTAGCTTTTACATTAGATTTATACTAATACAAGAAACCCTGCTGATGTTTGAGAATGAAATAAAAACTTGTCTTGCAGAAACTTCATTGTTTTTATCAGAATTCTCTGTAAAGAGAACCAAAGCAAGAATTGGTAAATCAGGTTTTTTAGTGAAAATTACAGACAACAAAATTAAGGGAAGTTTCTGAGTATTACACCTTAGATTTGGTTTAATAGGTGAAGGAGCAATCCTGAATAAGTGTTGGCAGGACCTCTCATATCACAGGACACTGGAATAGGAGGTTATTATCTACATAATTATAATAGCAGCTAATGTTTGGGTACACACTATGTGCAAGGCACCATTTAAAGTATGTTGTCTTATTTAATCTTCACAGTGATATTATAAGATGGCAACGACAGTGTTTTTATGTTGCATTTTACAGCTGGGAGAATTGAGGCAGAGTTCACTCATCCAAGGTGAACTTGCTGCTCCCATCACAGATTCGAATCCAAGAGGTTAGATTTAAAAGTCAGTGTTCTTAACTCTAAGCTTTAGGTGCCTGGTGTCCCCAAGAGAGCGGAACTTCACCTCCTCTCAGCTTGTGACCCTGATGGACCCACAGACATCCTTTTTAGAGGGCTTCAGCTCTTGATGTTTAGTTTTTTTCTTTTCAACAAGTGCTCACTGCTTTCCTGCCGTGTGCAGGGTGCTGTTCACACTGCACAGCAGCCAGTGTAAGGAGATGGTAATTATCCTGAACTGGCTGTCAGAAGATCTACTGGCACCAGCTGCATCTCATCAGAGCCATATGCTTAATGACCTTATCTCATTTAATTCTTTTCTTGTCCACTCAGATTTTTATTTATAAAATTTTCAAATATCCAAAAGTTACAGAAATGGTAAAATGAACCCCATGTATTCTCTACCTAGATTCAAGAATTAACATTTTTTGCTTTACCTCCTCTGTCGCAGTTCTCTATCTGTATGAATATACATACTTTTCCTCTTCCCACAATCATTTGAAAGGAAGCTGCATGCATCATGATGCTTTACCTATAAAAAATTCTATAAGTTTATACTGAGAATAAGAATATTATTTTTGTAACCACAGTGTCTTTATCATAGCTAAGAAAATTAATATTTCAGTTCCTATTAAAATTTTCAGGATGGACCAAGAAATGTCTTTTATAAGCTTTTTTTGTCTCCCCTCTGAACTAGGATCCAACTAAAGTTGATGGCTTAGATTTATTACTTATGATTTAGAAAAGTCTCTCTAAGTTTTTTCTCTGTATCTCATTTAATTTTGACACTAATACCCCGAAGAAGGCCCCATGAGCCCCGTTTTGTACACGAAGAAACTGAGGTTCAGAGTGGTTAATAGACTCACCCACAGTCACAAATCTGGTGACAGAACCATCTCCTGGGTCTTAATTCCTCCTTTTTGGTGGCATCAGGCTAGATTACAGGGCTAAGGAAGTGACCACTGACACTGACAAGGTTTGGAAACGGAATCTGAAAACGTTGCTAAATTAAAATAGGTTAAGATACTAATGAACACATATCCAAACACTAGTTGCTCCTCTTGCAAATGTTTATATCTAATTCAGATTATAAATAGGCTCAAAATCCAGCTACCTGTGCTTAGCTATCCTTCATTGCATCATAAAGATTAATACGGTTAGTATATCATTTCATTGCTAAATAACCCACAATAGAAGTGATTAAATTTAGAACTAATTTTCTCAATAGATGCTGCTATGTCTGAGTTTATTTCTATATATCCACCTTTGAAGCTGTAATCTCTAGCACAATGCCATGTATATATTTGAAATTCAAGTAATAGTCAAAGATTTGATTTGGTATACTAATAAGTCAGTTTTGCAAATGGTATATACACCTCATAAGACTAATCAGAATTTACATTCAGTAAATGTGAATAAATCAGGGGTGAATAAATTAGTTTAGGGGTTAGTATTTTCATTACTCTGATATGAGTTTCAAAATTTATCCTGACTCCCCCTAGGTTTCCCCACATCTACTGGTTTTTCACTGCTAGACCATGTTCGTGTTTTCCTATAGCAAACATGTAATAAAATAAATATATCGGAAATAAACAAAGTATGTACTAAGTATAGTGTAAATATTAGAATTTTTCCATTCACAAAGAATAGAGAGAAAAGAGAGGAAGAAGATTTAAAAGTTCACATTTAGGATCACCTTCATCTCTCTTAAACTTTGGATAGGACTATTATTTTTACTTCTATTAAAAACCAAATCAAAGCTTCCAATAGAATTTGTGGAAAAGCTTCTCATTTATTGTGGCTGGTAGTTTTCTTTATAAGTAATGAAAATGGGGCAGTTTTGCTATTTTTTCCTCTGGTTTTCACGAGGAAATGAATGTATTTCTTTACATTATTAGATAAAAGCTAAATACATTACACTTTCAACAAACTATTTTATAATTTAAGATTTAAAGGTCATACATTGTTTTTGAGCAGGCCGACCATTGCCATAGAGTTGAAGTACAGGTCAGGTTTCATTTTTAAATGCCTTTGGACAGATCTTTTCCTGATAATTGGAGAAATGGTCTCTGAGGGCCAATTTCACCTTGTGGCTGGGAACCCCAGCTGGATTCAGAGTCCAGTGATATCACATGGAAAAATAACCCCCATAAAAGGTCCCCGTCTCTTGGGCACAGCTGGCAGTGTCAAAAATCTGCCCTCCAGTTATGCGTACATTTATTTATAGATAAAGGAGATGTTGACAGAGTGAATTTTTTGGTTAGGAAATGCATTATGTTCTGTATTATTAAGATAATATATGAAAAAACAGGGGTGTATTTTAGCCTGAATTAGTCAGTGATTTGCATATATGCAGAAACACACTAAACGGCAGGATTTCTTCAGCAACTACTGCTGTCCTTACTGGTTAATGCCTTTTGCCTCACGAAATGAAAAACACTGCTGCTTTTAAAATTTGTTTTTGAATTATAAAGCCATACCTGTGGTTTCACATGGATTTCTCTACAAATTATGTTTGGCAGTTGACTATTTTTGGCTCCTTCTTTTCATATTACCTTTGACATGGGTGATATTGTTAAGCAGCATTACACTGCAGGTGTTCTATATTAGGACCCAAGGAAATGATGTCCAACTGAAATCACAGTCTATAACTCAGGTCCTTCTATCAATTCTCAAGTGTGTAACTTTTTCAGTTACCTCAAATTTCATAATGGTAGGTAAAACTATACCTCCAGAAATGAATTTCTTTCTATATAACTGCTGATTTTTATTTAAACATCTGTGGAATAAAATCTAAGCCTGTCCTTTTAAAAACGTATCATTACCTAGAATGTTAAAATTTTACTATTTAAAAATTATTGCATCTTAAAATTAGCAAACACAATGAAAGGCTTTTTATGTAAACTCAAGAAGAGTTTCACTTAGTCTATAACTGGTTAAAAGATGAAATCATATTCCTGACTGCTTGTTCTTGAAGCAAAGTTCAGCAAACATTTCTGGGGTGCTTATTGTTGACACCCCATTAGATTCAGAGTCTAGTGATATCACAGTGAGCAGGGTGGGCTCATTAAGAAATTTAACCGAAGGTCCCTGTGCTGCTAATCAATACTCCATAAAACCTGTTCAAGACTGTAGTGTTAATCCAGGGCCCACATACAATTATAGTAATAAGCGATCCATTCAGTTTCTTTTCTCAAACTTCCAAAAGCAACTATTTCCCCTGGAATTTGAAAAATGGTCCGTAGAGAAAGTAATACCTGGTTATTGTTTTGAGCTCTTTCTCTAATTAGCACATTAAAGTCAAGTCATTGCTGTAACCAATTGGTAAATCTATGAGAGCACCTTGTACTAGTCTCGAAACTTTCCTATAGTTTGAAATTACATCAAAATGTAAAGAAAAAAATGTTACCATTGATACTCCTGGAGATTATGAAAGAGAGACTAAAAAGATACTGGATGTAGAAAATTCTAATAATGCAAGAAAATTCCAAAGAAATCTGAAAACTTGTGTTGAATTTAATTCACTTCCTCATTCAGAGTCATGGCAGTGAGATTAGATATGGTGACACATCAACTGAACAGCACACACCCGTTGGGATTATTTATTCTCTACCATAACTCTACAGTGATCACATTCTGAGCCAACAGTCTTTACCTTTTGAAAGCATGAAGAACAATGAATACAATTTTCAAAATCTCTTTCAGGGACAAAGTGGATCAAAAATTCTTCATTAATCATTATAACAAATACTTTCCATCCTTTTAGTTTGTAAAGACTCAAACAAAGCTTGATATGGCTCACATTTTAGAGAGATGGCTGTAAAAGGGCTTCTTTCAAAACTAGTTTTTCCATCAGATCTATTATCTGCCATTGTCTCCAGAAAATTTTATCCATCTGCAAGTCTATTCACTTTTTAATTTTATAAATGAGCTTATAGGAATTAAGCTTGAAAGAAGCCTTAACTTATCGCTCTACCTCACACTTTCAGTTTGAAATCTTCACCTGGGTTTGCTTCACCCTTAATGTCACTAACACTGTGGTGAATGTGGTGCCACACTCTTTAGTGGCACTTAAATCACTTCCAGTTCTGGACAGCTGTGTATCCCTCTGCCGACTCCATGGAATTTTAAGCTCCCTTAGGGCAGGAACTATGTGTTCTTTTCTCTGTACCGTCCAACATTTAGCATAGAGCATGATAAGTAATCAATCCTCATTAAATATTTGTTGATGAATTATTGTGAAAGAGTTTTCATAAACTATAAAGCACTTTAGAAATATGAAGTATTTTAGCTTATAATTATTCAGTGGAAAGAGACACAGCTCCTGTCTTTGAGGATTTAAAAACCTTGTTGGTGTTTTATAATGTTAGATCATACTGATTGCTTCGGCTTTAGAAGATGTTTACAATTTATTTCAAACAAATAAAAATTTTCTCCTTCGTCCTGAAAACTGAGCTTCAAAACTAAATCTTAGTCTGAAAGCATGACTGAAACAGACAACACACTTCAGAAATCCATGGCCGTTAAAGCACCAGCCGTGTGAGAGAATGTTCTCTATAAATCTTGGTGGCCATACTTTAGAGGCAACATCACGGACTCCTGTGTATTTCTTTATAAGCATAGTTAAGTAGCTGTTGCTATCCATTAAGAACAGGTTTTTATTTATCCAGCTTATTTCCTTCCCTGTTTACCATTTTCCACTAACTAAGCTGAAAAGGAAACTAGCAATTTTTTTCCTTTTGGCTGCTCTAGAGTGAATGTTCATGAGCTAAAAATGAGCGTTTCTGAGGCACTGTCAGGTGTCCTTAAAAATTAATATTATCAAACAATCAACCTTATAACTCGCCAGTGGATGACAGAGGAGTGCAGTCTCCCTGGTCAGGACAGTGTGGGAAGTTCTCTCTGAAGCGAGGCAAAGAGCTTCTTTGCAGATCGTACATTGGTTAGCTCACATCAAGAAAACTTGAAAAGGAAAAAAAAGTCTTTCTTCTGTAATGAAAAAAGCAATTCTTTAGGTGTTAATGGTTTAAAATGAACAGTGGATACACTCTGATCAGAGGGAAAGTTGCTTTTTGGCAAAACAGTATTTTAAACTATTGATTTTGATTGTGTTTATTGTCTACTTTGAAAGAGGAGGACATGCCTCAGTCTGTAACTTGTTTTCCCAGGTTAAGATTATTTTGTGTGTGTCTCTCTCTAAAGATTAACATGGGTTCTCGTTTTGATACGAATGAACTATGACTCCTTAAAGGTGTTTGTAGTTCTAATTCAGCTACTGACTAGCTTTGTCTTAGTCCTCCTACGTCCCTTTCAGCTCTAACACTCAGGAATTTTACAAGTCAAGTATCTTTTAATCAGCATTAATTTTTTTTGCTTTGTAACCTAATGTATTATTCTTGAGAGGCGCAGTACATTTGATTTAATGGTTCTTTCTACATTAATATTAATACTGTGGGAATTTATGACTAACACATCATAGACACTTAATATTTCAGACTATGATTCTTATTAGGAAATGTTTTTTTCCTGTAGGTATATAGTCTATAAATAACATTGTAGGGAGGATAACAAAAGACCAACTAATTTGATTCTAATTTAGTCAGATGGAAAGGGGAACAGGGGTAAATTTATATTCTGAAAGCTTTATGTCATGTATTTATGTTGCATATTTCAATATAGTATTGAACACGAAGCTGTTTCCATTTGGCCATTTTATCTTTTTACCCATAATGGTATATATATGTGCCCATAGTATTAACAAATGATGTTGCCACGTCAGCATGAGACAATATTCATGTTTTTATTCCCCGTTCCCCACCAGTGCTGCCTTCTAGACAGCTCTCCCACTCCCCAGTCAAACCCTAGCCTTTCACTACTCTCTTAAATACTTCACACCAACGCCACACTGTTCATGAAAGGCCCCCATCACTGATTGTCTGTACCCATTGACCTCCAGCCTGTTTTCCAGGGCTAACCTGACCTCAGATACCTCCTTCTCTCTGAGGCCTTCCTCGACCATCCCACCCAATCCATCCCTCCTGTGAACTTCTCTAGCACCGTCAACCTTTCTCACGATGCTGAGAGACATTAAGATATTCTTGGGGTGCCAGGATAGAAAATGAACAAACTTGTTCTTTCTTTTGTTTTTTTCTGCTCCAAATGAATTCTTTATTCCAGAATCCAGGCTGAAGGAGCAGTATCTCTTTGGTACATGCCATTCTAAGGACAGAGGGAAAATGGAGGTTTCTTAAAACTTTTGCTAAGACATCTCATGTGTTTCTTTCCCTCACGTTCCACTAACCAAAACCAGTCACGTGTTCAAGCATGATATAAAAGGAATGGGGAAGTATATTCCTCCCATAGAGAAGGCCTACTTCAAGTTCCATGACAATGCACAAGATTATAATCTTCTTACAGGGAAGACAGAGAAAAATTGGAAACAATAATACAATTTATGATACATTCTTTATGTGTTTAAAAGTGGAATGTTTTCCTGATTTCTTAAACTGTTATCTCATCAGGGCCAGAAACACAATTTGGGCTCTGACACCTTTAAATGCATCAATCCAATCTGGACATATGCTGTATTTGTCATCCTCTGATGCGTTAAAGAGCCTAAGAACCCTGTCTTTTTTTTTTTTTAATGTGGTAACATTGGTTTATAACATTATATAAATTTCAGGTGTATGTCATTACATTTCGATTTCTATGGAGATTACATCATGTTCACCACCCAAAGACTAATTACAATCCATCACCACGTGTGCCTAATCACCCCTTTCGCCCTCCTTCCTCCCCCGTTCCCCTCTGGTAACCACCAATCCAATGAAACTCTTGATTTCTGATTTTATTTCCTTGACCTTGGAAATGATATTGTTTTGTTACCTCTTCTTCCCTTTCTAGATAACCAAGCTGAAAATAGATAGCAACCCTTTTGCCAAAGGATTCCGGGACTCCTCCAGGCTCACTGACATTGAGAGGTAATGAGACTTTTCTGTTTACTTTTTCGTCCAGATAAGATAAAGAGAAGAGTGAGTTTGTAAGAACACACTCCTTTTGACGCCAAAGAACCATAATCTTACTGTATATAGTCTCCAGTTCTCTGACCCCCTTTCCTTCCAGCTATAAACCCTGATATATGATATGATATGCAACAGCTTAAGCTTTGACAGTTGCTGCAACTGGATCTATTCTATGTGTACGCTCTGAGTAGAGTGATTTCTTTGGTCAGGACATTTACTCAACTGTAAAAAAAATAAGGCTTCTTTGTTATCAAAGATTCAGTCCTCTTGACGATATTAAGCTTCATGTCTCTAGTGGCAGTCTGCAGAGAAATGAAATCTTGATAGCCTTTGCCTTCTGAAGTGGATATATTTGCTAACACAAAGAATATAAGGGTAGCTTCAAATTTTGAAACAAGTAGATGTAATTTAATTCAAGGCACATATTTCACCTATAGCCTAGACTGCTTATATTTAATAAGAGAGATATCAGGACCTTTAAGAGGACAAGTGACAATCAGGTGCCTGTAACTTACCTCACTTTTTACTTAATTAAAATGGTTCATGCAGTATGAGACTGCCTATGGGATGAGTAAAGACTGTATTGAGATCCACAGTTTGCCCAATATGAATGTCAAAACGTGTTTTTCAAAGAGAACATTTTTCAACCTAACTGATTTTTTTGTATCCCTTAAACACACTACGTAACTTGTAACTTTCTGTACTTATTTATTTATTTTTTTTGGTGAGAACATTTAACTTCTATTCTCTTAGCAAATCTCAATTATACAATACAGTGTTATCAACTATAGTCACCATGTTATTTATACATTAGATCCTCCGACCATATTCATCTTCTGTACTTATTCTTTCATGTGGCCTGATGTCTTTAGTGACAGGTGGGGTACCCTAGCCACCAGCCCTCTGGTTTATCTTATCTCCAAATCTTTGTGTGATTTCTCTACCAATTGCTACACGTTCCTGTCACACTCTTTGTTACCTACCACATGGTCACAACTCCTGATCTCAGCACTTCTCCCCAACCTGTCCTGGCAACTCAAACTAAGGGATAATTACATGTTTTAGCAACATGTGTGTGATGCTTCCGTTAGCCTTCCCAAATGGAAGTGAATTTGATTTGGGGGAACAGATACAGAGGCTCGGTGGGGAGGCAGAGAGGCAGCAGAAGAGGCTGAAAGTTGGGCATGAACTATGGGATTTGAGTAGAAAAGTAAGATTAGTTGGAGAGCTTGACAAGTGGCTGGGGGTGTTGAGATCAGGGAAAGAAACCTGAGTTTGTGGTTGAAGAGTCATTGCAAAATGCAGAGAGAAGGCAAGTGTCTCCCATGGTGGGGGGACATAGGTGGGCAAATGGGCCGTGAGACCCAAGTTGGTGAGAATGTGGTATCAGCAGTGTGGGTAACAAATGAGTCCATTTACAAAGGCTCCTCTCATTTAGGCATGAACTTTTTCAACTCCTCTTTCTGGAGTGCCCGAGGCACTGATTCAGACTGGGTTTATGCAGGTGGGATTATAATCAGTGAATTTTTTCTCTGTTTTAGTCAGGCGTCAAGTAAGAATAAAGACAGTGGCTCAGTGGGGCAGCAGTGATGTGTTTTTATCGTGTATGTCATATCTTCTGTCTCAGATCGGGGGTGAGCATGATATACTGGGAGACAAAGTCATAGGTTAGAGCCCTGGCTCTGCCATTTACTGGCTGAGTGATCCTGGAGAAGTCACCTAACCTCTGAGTCTGTTTCCTCATGTAGAAAATAGAGCAAATAACCCTGCTCACTTCAAAGGTTTATTATGAGAACCAAGTAAGATGACATTTATGAAAGCACTTTATAAATCTAAAAATGTAAAATAATTATAAGTTCCTCAACTAATTAGATGAGCATAGTTTTTACCCCATCTAAATCTACTTTCCATAGTCTTGATAAACTACTCCGGGAGTAAAAATAGCCCTTTAGCTGCCCATGTGCTCATGAGATACAAGTGCCCAGACTGACTGCCCTCTGCAGCGACAGATTTGATAATGCATGCAGCCACATTTTCCACTTATTGAATAAGCATCCTGATGTGGGGAGCACTCACATCTACGTGAAACTAAGTAGCTTTCAATGGTCTGAGGGCCAAGAGAGCATCTTTGTGACTAGCTGAAAGTTTGCAAGATGACCTAAGTAGTGTGAAATTGGCCAAGGTTTTGGATTTCATTTCCAGGTATTTAAGTCTGAATTTTTCCTAAACAGCCTTTGGGGATGGGACAAATCAGATCAATTGATCTTTAGAGACCTAAAGAAATTAAATTAGTCTGGAGTCAGTTACTGCACTAAACCATCTAGTAATTGAATTGCTCCTTGTAACTGATTGAAAACAGCCCTATCTGTAACAATATAGGGAGCTTTTCCTTATAAGAGATCTGAGAGAAAAACACATCTTTTTATGACATGATGACAGAAATTGCACTTTTCTAACCTAATTGAATATGATGTTATAAATATGTGACCTTAATGATTTCAAGTTTCCTGTTCCAGATTTACAGCTACTGTGTGGGACACCCAAACAAAAATGCCTTTATGGTTGGATCTGCTCGCTTATACCTCTAAACTCGCAGTATTATTCTTTCTACGATCGCACAAGCTTTGGGGATACTCTATAAGGCTTTACAGTTTTCTTGCTCTCATTTTACTGGGTTCCATTCAGATGCTTGACTGTCTCACATACTTCATGTGTAGCCTTATTCTTCAGGGACAGCATCTCCCTCATTCGTAAAAGGAAACCCATCTCATTAGCAAAAGTAAGAAGTACTTTGCACATATACCTACAGCTAAGAAGCAAACCAAAAGCCCCAAGGCATTTCTGAATATAATCGAATTTATAGTTATTTAGTTCAGGGAAAGAATTATCTGCTGGTCCCTTGTAATAAATAATCTACAGACAGTCTGTCAGTTGGCATTTTCTTTCTTTTTTTGGGGGGGGAGGAGCACTTTGTACAGTAAGCAAAGGCACAGTGTTTCTTTGGAGAAAAAAAATGGCTAGGAGAGGTTTTAAATGTTTTCTTCAAAATTAAGATTCTTTTGTTAGGTTTTTTTTTTTTTTTTCTTTTTTACAAATAGAGTTCACGCTCATTGCAGGAAAAATACTGACAAGAAAAAGACCATAAAAAATTTACAAAATCCTATTCATTCAGAGATAACCACTGGCAAAAACTTATATATTCTTTCAGATACTTTCCTATGCATGTACAAACATTTACTTCCTTTAAAGTTTACCACACATACTATTTTTAATCATTTTTCCCTTAATATCAATAGATACATGTCTGTAGTATACATTTTAATGACTGCCTAATTTTCCATTGTGTACGATAATTTATTAGACCAATCCTATATGTTAGTTATTTAGGTTTTCCACTTTTTGTTATTACACACAGTGCAGGAGGAAAATGTATATCATCTTTACAAATATTCTTCATTATTACCGTAGGATAAATACTAACAAATAAAAATGCTGGGTCAAAGGACATATATTTTGTTAATCACAATGTTACTATTATTTGTTAAAAATTTGGGAAAAACTTAAGTGTTCAGGAGTAGGAGAATGGTTTAATAAACGTTTATAGTCATGCAAAAGAATTTTTAAAAATTGTGGTAAAATATGCATAACATAAAGTTTACCATTTTAACCACTTTTAAGTGTACATTTTAGTGGCATTAAGTAAATTCACAATGTTGTGCAACCATCACCGTTATTCATTTCCAGAATGTTTCCATCATCCCCCACAGAAAATCCATACCCATTAAACAGTAACTCCCCATTCTTCCTCCCCACAGCCCCTGGTAATATTTATTCTATTTCTGTCTCTGAATTTGCCTAGTTTAGGTACCTCATATAAATGGAAAGATATACATGTTTTAGAGGTTTTTCATACATACCGTCAAGTTTCCCTCAAGAGAGACTGTCCAGGTCCTGGTCAAGGGTGTCCATTTCTTTGCACCCTTGTCAAACATGATCATCATCTTTTCATCTGTGCCAATTTGATAGGTGAAAATTTGTATCTTCTTCTGTAAATTTGCGTCTTTATGTCCTTAGCCCATTTTTTTTTCTTTTGGATTGTTCATCCTGTCTCTTATTGCTCTACAAAAGCTATTTATGTATTAGTATTTTCATTGTTCACATATGTTGGAATCATTTTACCAGTTTGAAATTAGCTTTTTATTTATGTTTTTGATAAATATTTTATCACCAAATCTATTGTTTTCTTTCTTTATATCTATCTTAACAGACGTTCCCTACTCCAAAATTATGTATAGATGTAAAGTGTATATATGTAAATATGTAAAATTTTCTATCACTTTATTGCTTTCTAGCTTTTTATTTAAATTTTTAATTCATGTAGTATTTATTTTGGTGTAAGATATGAAATAGACATGTCACTGTATATTTCTTATAAGTGGCCCCAGTATCATATATTTATGGACATATCCCTTTCCCACTTATTTACAATTCCCCCTTTATCATATACTAATTTCTTGCCTATAATAGTTTTTACAGTTTCTTTTTTGATCTGCCAGTATTGTATTGTTGTAATTTTTATAAATTGATAAAATATGTAAATATTTGACAATACATAGATACCTGATCTGGCAAACTCCAAACCTCTTTTTTTTTTTTTTGGTGAGGAAGATTGGCCCTGAGCAAACATCTGTTGCCAATCTTCCTCTATTTTATTTGGGACACTGCCACAGTGTGGCTTGATGAGCAGTGCTAGGTCTGCACCCAGGATCCAAAGTGGCAAACCCCAGGCCACTGAAGCGGAGTGCACAAACTTAACCACTAGGCCACTGGGTAAGCCCCAAACTCCAGACTGTTTTTACTTGTCATTTTCAAATTTTCTTGATATTCTTAGACATTTATGCTTCCAGTCTTTGGAATCATTTCGTCAAGAGTTGCCAAAAAATGCCATTGGAAGTTTG